CCCCCCATGCCCTAGGAATACAAGTAATTACAATAACAAGCTGATATAATTTTTTTTTAAATAAGCAGGCAAAGGAGAAAGAACTTTAAAAAGACTAAAAATCAAATGAGATTGAGATTTTTTTAAAAAATAAGAACAAGAAAAACAAGATTATGAAAAGTAAGTCAACCAACTGGAAAAGGAGACCCAGAATCTTAAGGAAGAAAATGAATACTGAAAATTAGAATTGGGCAAGTGAAGCCAGTGAAGTTATAACAGAAATACAAGACATATAAAAAATGAAAAAAATAGAAGAGAATGCGAAACATCTTGTAAAAAGAAAAAAAACACAACTGATCTGGAAAACAGATCTAGAAGAGAAAACATAAGAGTAAATAGACCACCTGAATGCTACGATCCAAAGAACTGTGATACAATAATACAAGAAATAACTAAAGAAAATTGTCCTGAAATTTTAGAACAAGACGGCAAAGTAGAAATACAAAAAAACCACCCATCACCACATGAAAGAGAGCTTATGAGGAAAACCGAAGGAATATCATAGCCATGTTCCAAAACCCCCAGCTCATGGAGAAAATATTATAAGGAATAAGAAAAAAACAATTCAAATATAGTAAAGCCACAATTAGAATCACACTAGACCTGGCAGCAGCTACACCGAAAGACCGTAGGTCTCGGAACACTATATATCAAAGAGCAAAAGAATTGGGGTTATGGCCAAAAATGTCATACCAAGCAAAGTTAAGCAAAATCATGAATGAAAAAGATGGACATTCAATGAATTGTCAGACTTTCATGATTTGTTTGCAAAAAGACCTGAACTTAATAGAAAATTTGACAGACAGTACCATCAATGACTAATTACAAGGGTCTCAATAACCACAAACTATTTACTTTTTATATGTGGAAATGTAAAACAAATGTCTAAGATTGTTATTACTGATTGGGTAGTTTGAAAGAAAGATTATGGTAGAGCTGATTATGATGAGATTCTAAAAAGTAAAATCATATAGGAAAAACTAAAAAAGAATAATTATCTTTTACAAATGAAGTGCAAGAGGAAGAATTGACACAAAGGAATTAGATGGGGGAGGAGGGCTGGTAGTTCTGGAACCTTATTCTCATTAGCAATGGGTTAAAGAGGAAACGATACATAAAAATTTAGAAGGTTATAAAAGTCTTGTAAACTCAGAAAGAAATAAGAGGCCAGCAGGATAGGGAGGGGGTAGAGAATAAGGGAGAGATTTTTAGAGAGGTGGGGGAGAGTATAAGGGAGGGATCCTTGGAAGAGTAGTAGGTTAAGGAATAGAAGGGCAAGGAAGCATATAGAAATAATGCAGGAGTCAGGAGGGACAGGATATGAGATACACAAAAACATAAAATAATGATCAGGAGTAGAATTTATTAGGGGGAAAAAACAAATATAGTACAGTCTTACATAGATACATATGAATGTATATATGATTATAGCTATCTATGTAGATATGCATGCTAGTACATGGATGTACATGGATACATATGTATATGCTTGGGTGTATATGAGTACAGATATATATGAACAAGTATATATATGAATGAGTATATATATCTGTGTGTGTGCTTAATTTTCAACTTCTTGGGGAGAGGGGGAAGGAGGAAGAGAAAAGAACAAAGTAAAAAGTGCACAACAGAAAACAGAAAACCTACAAGGAAGCAAAGAAAAAAAGGAAAGCTCTAAATACAATGTGTAGTATTTCATAGGCTTGCTTGAAATAGAAATTTATCTTTGTATTTTGAATCTTCTCATGTTCTACTATGCACATGGCAATGTTTTCTTTTCTTTCCTTATTTTGTATTTAAGTTTAAAATTAAAAGGAAAATGTAAATGAATACATTTACTGTAGCGCTTTTTATTAAAATCTATTTTAGCCATAACTTTGAGATCATAATTGCTACCCCTACCTTTTTAGCATCAGCCAAAGCATGACAAATTCTATTCCAACCTTCCATTTTAACTCTGAGTATATCTCTCATTCTTAAATGTGTTTCCTGTAAACAACATATTGCTGGATTCCGATTTTTAATAAAGTCTGCTATCCATTTCCATTGTATAGATGAGTTCATCCCATTCATACCCAAAGTTTATAATTACTTTTTGAATTTCCCTCCATCTTATTTTTGCTATTTTTCTTCTCAGCCTCTCTTTTTGCCCCTTTACCCTCCTAATCTTGATCTACACACCCCTCCAACAGACCTTCCCTTATCTTCTCCCTCCACCCTCCTATATCTTATTCTATACATCCTTCTAAAATTCCCTCTCCCGCCCTGTCCCCTAGTTTTCTCACTTCTCTACAAGTTCAGAAGACTTCTACACTCCTCCAGATGTACACAGTGTTTTCTCTTCAAAGGTTCCAAGATTACCAGCCCTCCACCCCTACCAGCTTCCCCTGTATCCTCTTCCTCTTACGCCCCAATTTTATGAGAAAATTGCTTTTTACCTTTTCCTGCCCAATTTTCTTTAGAATCACCCCTTCATACATACCTCCAACCTTTCTTTCAAACTACCTTAGTAATAATGACAGTTTTAAGAATACTGATAACATTTTCACACATAATAAAGAAACAGTTTGACATTAGCAGTGCCTTATAATTAGTCTTTAAAGTGTGCCTTATATTTCCCTCAGGATCTTTTTATATCACATTTTCTACTGAGTTCTGGTCTTTTTCTTACAAATCTTGTAGTCTTTCAGTTTGTCAAATGACCACTTCTTTTTCATTCAGGACTATACTCAACTTTTCTGGGTTAAATGATTCTTGGAACAGCCCCAGCTCTTTGCTCTTCTAAACATAATGCTCCAAGACCCATGGTCTTCTAGTGTAGAAGCTCCTAGGTTTTATGAAAAACTATATATTTTCACAGCATTAAAATTATTTTTCTTCCTTGCCAATATTTCTGCCTAACCTAGAGTTTTGAAACTTGACTATGACATTTTGGTAAGTTTTCTATCTGGAATCTTTTTCAGGTGGGGAATGATATTTTTTTTCTATTTCTACATAACCCTCTTGTTCTAAAAATTCAGGTCAATTTTCCTTAATAATTATTTGTAATAGTGTATCCAGATTAGCTTTTTGACCATAACTTGGAGGTAGTTTGACAATTCTTATATTGTCTCTCCTTGATCTATTCTCCAAATCATTTATTTTTCTAATGAGATATTTCACATTCTAATTTTTTTTATTACTTCCTCGTGTCTTATAATGTCATTCAATTCTAGTTTTCAAGGACTTATTTTCTCCCTTAAGAGATCATACCAAGATGGTAGAAAGAAGTCAGGAAGTTGCCTCAGCTATCCCCAGTTTCCTTCAGAAATAAAATTAAAATATGTTTAATAGGGATGTAAATGTAAAGCCTGTATCAGATTATGCGCCATCTTGGGGGAGGAAAGAGGAGAAAAATTTTCAACTCAAAAGTATATGGAAGTGATTGTTGATAAATCAAAATAAATTAATAAAATTTAAAAAATGTTTCTAATAAAAAGTCCTATGTAAGCTAAAAAAAAAGAGAAATAACGTTAAAACAAGACTCTAAACAGATTCTAGAGCGACAGAACCTACAAAAACACTGAGTGAAATAATTTTACAGTTTAAGATAATTTAGAAGAAAGGACTGTCCCACTTGGGTAAAAGGGAAAACATGGTGTCTAGACAAATCAGAAGGAAGCTCTTAGCCACAGCACAGATCAACAGCCAAGGTCCCAATCACTGATCCAAGCATTCTTGAGAGCAATTTGGAACTGTGACCAAAAGGCTATAAAACTGCATAAGTTTTGATCCAGTAATACCACTGCTAGGTCTGTATCCTAAAAAGATCATAAGAAAGGGAAAGGAACCCACGTGTACAAAAATATTTACAACAGCTCTTTTTCAGGAGGCAAAGAATTGGAAATTGAAAGAATGCCCAACAATTAGGGAATGGCTGAATAAGTTGTGGTACATGAATGTGATGGAACACTACTGTAATGAACACAATGATATTAGAAAAACATGGAAAGACTTACACAAAATAATGAAGAGTGAAACAAGCAGAACCAAGGGAAGATTGTATATACTAACAGGAATATTGTTTTAAGAACAAATTTGAATCAAAAACTTATTTTGACTACTATAAATACCCAAATTAACTATGAAGGCTATATGAAGACACTATCTGCATCCAGAAAAAGGATTGATAAATAAAAGCATATATGGAATAATTTTACATAGGTATACATATATATGTATACTACATATATACACAAATACATGCATACACACACACACAAAAACACACACATCTAATTGCGTCTAATGGTAGCCATGTGGAGGAGAAAAAAAATTGCATGGTACTGTTCTATATTTAAAAGGAATAACAAGTTGCACATAACAAATCTGCAATTTCATATGCAATTATCTTTTTCATTATACTATGTTATAAAAATGCTTGCTGTATCCCATAAATTAAAAATAAAATTAATGTGCAAAGTGAAAACTAGGAATACAGTGCCCACAGTAACAGCAGTAATGATCAACTGTGAAAGACTCAGCTACTCTGATGAATACAATAATCCATGAAAAGTTTAAAGGTCCAATTATGACAAACAAAGAGAGAACTACCCAACTTTCAGTGAGGATTGAAGCATATTCTTTTTCTCTTTCATTTTTCTTACATTTTCTTTTGGACTACGGTTAATAGGGAAATGTTTTGCATTACTTCCCAGGAAAAATGGGTGTCCTATTGTTTACCTTCTCAATGGGTGGGGGAAGAATTGGAAGGAGCTAAGGAATTTATAACACGAAATTAAAAACAACAACAAAAAGTAAATGTAATTAGGGTTTTTTTCTGTGTGGAGAGGATAAATTGGTGACTATGGTATCTTTTAGCTATAAACATATATGCCCACAATTTCTACTGTTATAGCACAGGACAAAGAAACCTATCCCACGGTCTCTGGCCTCAGATGAAAGCAGCAAGTGGCACTCACGTTCCCGGGCCTGGCGTCAGGGCAGGAGTCATTCCCTCTTCCTCCAGGCTTTCCTCTTGGGGCAGAGCAGAGGCCACAGAAGGGAGAGCTGGGGAGGAAAGGAGAAGGAGGAGAGTGAGGGGTCACACCGGGGGTCTGCCCTGCTCAGACCAGACATTCCCACTTCTCCACTGCGGGGAGATCAGGGAGGGGGGCAGGGGCAGGATGGGGGTGGGGCCAGAAGGAAGCGATCATTTCTTTCCGGGGAGGGGGGTCTGTCTTGGGGCCAGCATCTCTTTAGAGACAAATTGGAGGACAGACAGGTAACCCTTACAGCAGGGGAGGGCACGGGGCCCCGGCAGCATCAGGGAAGGCTTCCCGGAGGAGGGGCTGCCCAGGAGGATACTGGGCGGAGGAGATGAGGCCACGGGAAGTCCCCACCGAAGGCCAGACAGACACACACCAGGAGCAATACATTCCCTGGGGCTCTGGGCACGGGGCAAGGCCTGGGCCTCGGAATGCGGGCGTGACTGAAGGAGGATTAGACCCCGCCCCCAGGCTCCCCCTCCGCCTGCTCGGCCTCCAACCCCTGCACCCCCTCCCCCGCACGGGCCGCCAGGGAGCCGCTCCGGCGCTCCGCCCATTCTCCGTGAGCTCCCAATCCAGCCCCTGGTGCTCCGACCCCGTCGCACCCCCGCACCGGCTCCTGGACCTGGCCCCGCTCTCGGCCCCCGCTCACCCGGTCACACTTCAGCCCAGGACAGAGAAGGGGAAGCGGGAACCAGCAAGCGTGGAAGTGGTGGAGGGAAAAGTAAACGGAAGTTTCGTAGTTAGACGGTAGTCTAATCCTCCCGCCCGTGAGCTTGGAAAATGCCGAGCACGGCCTTCTGGGAATCGTAGTCTGGAGGCTTAGGAGCCTTCTGCGCATGGCTGGGGCCGGGCCCCTCCCCCGGCCTGGAATGCGGTCCTGCCTCCCCCACCTGCCCCGCCCCTCCCGCCCCTTCCTGCCAAGAGCCCCGCCCCCTCCGCTCCTCCTCCTACCTCGTGCGTGGTCTTCACAGCCCCAGATCCCACGGGGAGTCACCAGGCGTGGGCTCACAGACCTCGAGGCGTCCTGGGGCTCCTCCGAGGCTAGTCCAGCCCGCAGTCTCTCCCACTCCGGCAGCCAGTCACAAAGGCGACCGCTCTAATGAAGTGCTTCCTGTGCACCAGCATCTTCCCGCAGGAAGTGACGCAAACACGCAGAGACGTCACGGCTCTGAGGAAGGAGACCACAGGCTGGGGCGGGATGCCCTGAGGGCTCGCTCAGCCCCCTGGGGCTTCCAGGAGAACGCACGAGTGGGCCCGGGGCAGCAGGAGAGGGCAAGGGGGCGTCGGCCCGTGCTGGCTTTGTGTCTTTCCTCTGCCAAGGAGACTGACCCGAGGGAGACCAGGAGACGTGGAGAGCGTTTGGCTGGGCCTGGGGAATGCCAGTCCTCTGCTAGATGGGCTCAATAAAACTCAGAGCTGACGTTTAGGTGGAGCTCACTGTGTTCCAGGCACGGCTAAGCACTTTACAAGGACTAAATCGTCTGGTCCTCACAACAGCCCTGGGAAGCAGGTGCTGTTATATATACACTATTTTATAGATGTGGAAACTGGGGTGAAGTGACTTGCCCAGGGTCACACAGCTAGTATGTGTCAACTGTTTGGTCTGAGGCCAGATTTGAATTCAGGTCCTCCTGACTTCAGGGCCAGTGCTCTATCCACTATACCATCTAGCTGCCCCTGTGCAAACCCTTTGATCCAGCAATACCACTACTAGGTCTGTATGCCAAAGAAATCATAAAAAAGAGAGAAGGACCCACATAGACAAAAATATTTATAGTAGCTCTTTTTGTGTCAACAAGCAATGAAAAATATAATTTTAAATTTAATATAAACAAAATTATCTATTTTACATTTCTTAATGCTCTCTGTTGCCCATTTGGTCATAAATTCTTCCCTTCATAGATCTGATAGGTGGACTATTCTTTGCTCTTCTAATTTGTTTACAGTACCACACTTTATGTCTAAATCACGTACCCATTTTGATCTTATCTTGGTATACAGTATAAGTTGTCCTATAACTAGTTTTTGCCATATTATTTTCTAGTTTTTGTCAGATGGTGACTTCTTATCCCCAGAGCCTGGGGTCTTTGAGTTTATTAAACGCTGGATTACTGTGGTCATTTACTACTGTGTCTTATATATGTAATCTATTCCCCTGATCTTCCACGTTATTTCTTAGCCTGTACCAGATAGTTTTGATAATTACTGCTTTATAATATAGTTTGAGATCTGGTGTTGCTAGGCCACCTTCTTTTGTATTTTTTCTTTCATTAATTCCCTTAATATTCTCGACCTTTTGTTCTTTGAAATGAATTTTTTTCTTATTTTTTTCTATCTCTATCAAATACATTTTTGGTAGTTTTATTGGTATGGCACTGAATAAGTAAATTAGTTTAGGCAGAATTGTCATTTTTATTATATTGACTCAGCCTACTCATAAGCAATTGATATTTTTCTAACTGTTTAGATCTTACTTTACTTGTGTAAGAACTAATTTGTAATTGTGTTCATATAGTTTCTGGGTTTCTCTTGGCAGGTAGACTCCCAAATATTTTGTATTGTCTTCAGTTACTTTAAATTGAAACCAAAACTTTGACCTCCAACATCAAGACCCAAAAGAAACATAAACAGGTAAAAAGGGGAAAAACCCAGAAGAGATTCAGTAGATCTCAGCTGTTTACATCCCACATGGGAAGATGATACTTGTAATTCTTTTTCCCCTGTGGGAAACAGATAACTCCTTTATTGTGTACATTTTGAAGTGATCTTCCAATTTCTTGTTTCACAGAAAACATTAAGTATATACTCAGCTTAACATATATGTTGTAAACCTGCCTTGTTCCCTAAATTTAAAAAAAAATCATTCCAACAACTTATGCAGGAGGCCATTTCATCTGACATTCCTCCAAGGACGTGCAGATGGATATAACAGACAGATTGCCCCCCTTCTGCACCTTCATTGATCACCATTCGATATCCTCTCTTCAGACCCAGGTCAGCTACACATTTCTTACCAACAGTCATTAAGTGTCCAAGAAGATTTTCATCATCCTCTTCTGCAACAGATTATCTGAGTTAGCTTTCTTAGGTATCACCAGGAAATGAGTTGGGGCTTGTGGGCAAACGTTATGGAAAGCAAGATGCCAGTCATCTTCAAAACTGATTTTGGTGGGGCAGCTAGGTGGCGCACTGGATAGAGCACTGGCCCTGAAGTCAGGAGGACCTGAGTTCAAATCCAGCCTCAGACCAAACACTTGATACTAGCTGTGTGACCCTAGGCAAGTCACTTAACCCCAATTGCCTAAAAAGGAAAAAAAATTATTATGACCAGGATTTTCTTGCAAATTTTTTTCCTGAAGATGGTGTCTCCCCTGGGCTGGGCAGTGTGAGCTTTGCTGATCTCATCTGCCATAGCTACTGACAAGCATAAGAAAAAAAAATACTTTAAATTACAAATAATTAGAGGGATTAAAAAAACCCTTCAACCTCACACTCATCAAATTGGCAAAGTTGACCCCAAAAATGGCAAATGCTGTATGGACTGTGACAAAACAGGTATATTAATGTATTGTTGATGGAGCTGTGAATTTTTCCAGCCATTCTGGAAAATGATTTGGAATGATGCCCCCAAATCTGTTCAACTGTGAATAACCACTGGCCCAGTGATACCACTACCAGGACTATATGCCAAATCAAAGAAACAGGAAAAGATTCAAAGGCATAAAAATATTTAAAGCAGCTTTTTTTGTAGTGAAAAAGATCTAGAAATTGAGCAGATAACCCATCAGTTGGGGAATAGCTGAAAAAATTATGGCATATGTATGTGGTGGAATCTATTGTGTCGTAATAAATGATGAAGGAGATGGCATCACAGAACTATGAAAGACTTGCGTCAGTTACTCAATCAGTAAATTGATACAAATTTATTAAGCACCTACTATGTGCCAGGCACCCTTGTACTGGGGAAACAAAAAGAAGCAAAAGACAATCCTTGCCCTCAAGGAGCTTACAGTCTACTGGGGGAGACAACATGCAAACAGAAACATGCAAAGTAAATTATATGCAGGATAAAACAGTGGGAAAACAAAAAAATTAAAAGGTGTTGGAGAAGGTTTTTGTAGAGGGTGGGATTTTAGTTGAAACTTAAAGGAAACCAGGGAGATCAATAGTTGGAGGAGAGGAAGGAGAGCATTCCAGGTATGGGGGACAGCCAGAGAAAATGCCTGGAGCCAAGAAATAGCGTGTCTTCTTTGAGAAATGGCCAGGAGGTCAGGGTAACTGGATGGAAAAGTATGTGGCACAGAGTAAAGCTTAAGAAAACTAGAAAAGTAGGAGGGGGCTATGTTATAAAGGGTTTTGAATGTAAAAGAGAGAATTTTGTATTTGATCCTGGAGCCAATAGGGAGCCACTGGAGTTTAGTTGTGTGTGTATGTGTGTATTATGATTGGACCTGTGCTTTAAGAAAATCACTCAATGGCTGAATGGAGGATATAATGGAGTGGGGAGAGACTTCAGGCTGGCAGACCCACCAGTAGGCTATAGCAACGGTAAAGGCATGGTGGTGATGAGGATCTATACCAGGGCAGCATCAGTGTCAGAGAAGATGGGGGGAGTATTCAAGAGATGTTGCAAAGGTGCAATGAATTGGCCTTGGCAACAGCTTGGATATATGGTGGTGAGAAATAATAAAACATCAAAGATGACTCCAAGGTTGTGAGCCTGAGAGAGTGGGAGGATGGTATTGGAGGATGGAGGATGGTGTGTTCCTTGCAGTAACAAGGAATGCACATCCTAGGGTTTAAGGGAAAAGATAGTAAGATTCATTTTGGACATATTATGTTTAAGATGTCTACTGGACATTCAGTTTCAGATGTCTGAAAGGCAGTAGGAGATGCAAGACTGAAAGTCATCAGAAAAGATTTGAGAATTGTCACTATAGAGATGGTAATTAAATCCATGGGAAATGATTAGATCACTGAAATGAAGTAGTACAGAGTGATAAAAGAAGAATTTAGAAC